ACACTGAACCATTGAGGCACCTACATGTAATTACTGCAATACATTTATATAGTCGTCTAAAGTGTTGTTAGCGCTTTTAAAGAGTCAAAATTCCAACAGATGAATTATGCTTTACCTCTATGAGATTTGTAAAGCTAAGCAAGTATAGTATGGCGTCACAAACAGTGTTTGGCTCATTGCCTAATGAATATATGGTCAGTGAGTAACAGACTATTTTCGTGTAATAGTTGTTTGTGTTACAAATAAAACATTGTTGACATTCTTTTATAAAAAATATTTTATTTATTTGTTTTAAATACATACCTGATAGATTGTTGGCACCAATAAAATCTAAAATTAAGCATATAAGAGAGAGAAATAACAGAGTTAAGAAAGAACTTTTTATTAGAAATTAGTCAATATTATTATTATTATTCCCTTGGGTTCCGTGTGGAACCCAAGCTACTAGTATCCAATCAAAATACGCACTACAATCCTACAGGAAGTCAATCGCGAACCCGAATAGCTTACTGGTAACGTCTCTGACTGCAGGCAGCACTGGGTGACGTGGTTTCGAATCTCAGAAGCAACATGAAATCCTTCAAGATTGCAGATACGCCTTGCCCTGACTGGTGAGTGCCAACTAGCACAAAACCTAAGTCTAGACAGGGTTTCCTGTGGCCGATTGCCTCCAACTATCCAATAGCATCTCCACTTTTTTCTATTTTCTTCTGTCCTCTTCAGTTGGGTTTAAGATTGCCTATAATCTCTCATTTCCTGCTTGCGCGATCTTCTCCATGTTACCCTCGGACGACGTTGTTTTTCATTTGGATTCCACTTGAGCGATGGCCTGTATTGCGCGCGATTTCATTTGACGGTATCTTTAACTTATGCCGTATCCATCTCCAATTTCTCTTACATATTTGTTGAGCTTACGGCTCTTGGTTGGTTTGTAGTCAGAGTGCCTTGTTTTTAGTTCTTTCTGGCCATTTGATAAAAGTCGCCTGTAAACTGTTGGAAATGCCTTTCCAATTCTGCCTGTCTTCATCCATGGTATCCGCCTGTGGTTGAAACTGTGCTTCGTGTCTGGATAAGTCAAGGAATTGACCTCTGTCAAATCTCTCCCGTTGATAGTTGTTGGTGCTGTTTGTTGTTGCTGTCGGTTAGTTGGTTATCTTCATCACCACTGTTTTTTCCATGTTCACCAGGAGTTCTGTCTTCGTTGCCTGCCTCACCTCTTCAGCCAGTTTGTTGGTTTTCGCCTGCAAGTCTTTGAGTCTGTATGACATTAAACATAAATAAATCATAGAAGAAATCCATATCTCTTGGAGTCTTTTTATCTGTCCAGCGTATTCCCGTCTTCTCACTCCCTGTGCGCAGTCTGACGCATAATCCAGTCAACGACAACTAGGAATATCATCGATGATAATAGGCAGGCAGCCTTGTCTTACTCCTGTATTCACTTTCAACGCCTCTCTGAGTTTTCCGTTGTGGACCACCTTACACTTGCCATTGTCATATAGCCATCTGTTGAATGAGGTTGGAATTAGTTAGTGCTTCTGGTTAAATGGTCTCGAAGTAAATCCCTCTGAATGTCACGTTGTTAATTTCACTTTCAGACACAAGTGTGACTAAAATGATCTCCTTCGATCGCATGATTCCATCATCAAAGATGACACAGAAGTATAAACTAAGTCGCCTGTCGAATACCTTAGATTGTGTGTTTCCTCTGACCTTTTCTGGTCTTTCCATATCATGTTATTTTCCAGAAAGATATTATGGTCGACGTCCTACGTAAAGAAGTTGACACAGTCTAGCATCACTCAATCTCTACTTTCACAGTTTGTTAGTTCTTGTATTCTACCTATCCTCCTTTATCGCTCTTCGACACCTTAATCTTTCCCGAGCTATTTAAGAAAGACTTTGTTACACTATGAATAGCACATTAGAAGCTGTGAATAGGTTGAGTAGAGTGTCGCTAAACTAATTTGTCAATACTGTTTGTAGATAGACACATGGAACATGAAAGAAAGAAATTAGGGGATATTTTCTTGTCAGATCCTGAGCATCCTCTCTATACGAAACTCCCTTCTTGCTTACCATCAGGTAGAACTAGAAGCAGCTACAGAAGATTCGTGCTGCGACAACTCAGTACAAAAACTCTACAATACCTTATTCGGCATACATTTTATGTGATGAGAAAAGTGTAAAGCATCATACTACTAACTTACTGCTGATATTTCGAGTTTCAACACGGATGGATATCAGTTAGAGGACCATTGAAAACCAGCACCGGAGTACTGGACAGCTGTTTCATCCTAGTTTAGGAATCATCGGCAGTACGCACCCACTGCCAAGATTCTAACCCAGGAATTTCCAGTTACAAGGCAAGTTAGCTCGTACACCGTTCATCCACTGTGACCCGATTCAATGGCCAGTCCATGAATTCTAACTTCTACTAATTCGTGATTTTAGCGTGACCACCAACCAATCCTTACAAACCAACTCTTGAAAATTAATCTGATACTCGCTAGTAACTGTCTACAGGACGAAGTTGTCTGGAGTTCCGTAGAGAGGTCGTGACCAGTGGCGTCTTTCCAGTTGGGAGTGAGGAGTGATTTCCTGCCGATGACATTTGTTGGTGGTCACGCTAAATGCATCAAGAATTGGTAGAAATTAGAATTCACGGGGCATTGAAACGGGTTTCAGTGGATGAATGGTACACGAGCCAGCTTGCCTTGTAACCGGAAGGTCCTGGGTTCGAACCCTGGCAGTGGGTGCGTCCTGCCGATGATTCTCAAACTAGAATGAAACAGCTGTCCAGTATTCCCTGACTGGTTTTCCAATGGTTCTCTAACTGATATCAGTCCGTGGGCAAACTCGAATAAACGAATCTAATCTTTACAAACCAACCTTCGAATATATATATATATATATATATATATATATATATGGAGCTAATGTAATCGTTGATGAATGTTCTGCAACAGCCCTCTGCAAATGGCATATATATATATATATAGAGAGAGAGAGAGCATTTATTATGTTGCTAGTTTAACATAATGCTCCAGCGGTATATCTCTGTTGTACATGTCTGTTCTGCCGACACTTTCAGCTGGTTACTCGACTGCCAGCAAGCCTTGAATTCCTCGTCACTTGATATTTTCGTCTCAGATTCCTTCCACTCCTCGTTTACACTTGAAGGCTTTACCTACCATGGCATAAGAATGTCTCCTGAGTACACATGTGTTCAGTATGGAGCAAATGTAGTCATTGATGAATGTTCTGCAACAGCCCTCTGCAAATGGCATATCTGTGAAGTATACCGAATCATCATTGACTTGGTCGACATCAGTGTTACAAAGCCAATTGTCTCATTGCGCTAATTTCTGTGAATCTCCGCAATGATGTATCAGTGTAACGAAGATCTTCATACAGCTAATTCCCACATTGTACATGAATTTAAATAAAGCAAAAACAACAGCAGTTTGTTCAGAATAAGATGGTAGTATCGTTTATTTTGTCGGTCAATGATAGGAGACTCCAAATTAATAAACAGTCCTCAGAAAATACAAAAAAAAAAATACTCAAGTTCAAAACAAACAAATAATATAGCGAAAATATTCATTCAGACATCTGTTAAAACACAAAATAATTGAACAAAGAATATCCCTTTCGATAATTTCCTCCTCTTCTGGCTCTACAATTATATATACATATATGTTTATATACATAGAATATTCTAGAATAGTAGTCAATAACAATATTAGTGTGCTTTTTAAATAATATCGATTTGTCAAGTAAGATCACAATAGAATTACAGCTCATTAAAGATGCTTTAATTATAATAATAATAATAAAAATATAATGGCAAATAGAATATCAACTAAAATTAGGAAAATTTCACAAAAATTGAAGATCATTCAAACCTAGATGGCCAAGGTAAGGATAATGTCTGAGTTAGCTTCTTTTGGACGCACAAATTAGACTTCTTAATGTGGATCCCAACGGCCAGCCTCAGCAATATTTAGTAGTCGAACTCTTAAAGCGAAATTAAGATATGTTGGTCTGTGGTACATGACTTTGAAGGTCGCCTTGTTTACATCAATCTTGTGTTGTGTATTCACAAGATGAGATAGAATAGCACTACGGTTAGGTTTTGTTTGTCCTTTACTTAACCAACCATGCAGTGTTGATGTCCAGAAATTCGACGAGAAACAAAAAGTAAATGTTCGAATACAGTGGCGAAGGAGTTATGCACTAATGACAATCGGTAGATAAGATGATGGGTAACTAATTTGGTAAGTTTAACTCCAAAACATAGAACCAAGAGATTGGCCAAACATTTACATCATAGCAAAGTGGAAAGGCTTAAAGCCGAAGATTACCTAATCAAATATAAAAGAAACAGTAGTGACATGCGTCGGTGGCATAGCAGTTAGGACGCCCGCCAACCATGCGCATGGTCCAGGGTTCGATCCCCGGCCGACGGACTTCCTTACCTCGTAAAGCCAGAAATAATGCAGGTAAAGAGGAAAGGTTGGGCATGAGGCTAGCAACCTCATCCTATAAAATAATCATCACTGCTACAGAAACTTCAAGCATCTAGCTTGAAGCCCTATGTTCCATTGGGAACGTGAAGGAAAAAAAGACATACAGGCAAGGAAAGAATGACAACTGTTTCCTTCTGAACACATAAATCGGACTTCAAGAGTTTGAGAAGAAGGGTTTCACAGTGTCTCCACCTCATGACTCGTATTGAAAAAGGAAGATCTGTCGTGCTCTATCTATTCTGGCTGGCTTTAATATGCTCATTCATATCGCCAGCAGACGACATAGTTGCAACGCATAGTCAGTCACACCGGTAAAACCAGTGTCCCAGAGTTTCCAGCGTATTGATTGGCGCATATAGTTCGGTTTTTTTTTCAGTGTAGAAACATTTATTCGTCTGCATTACATTTTATCTCATTAATGATCTTAGCTTTTTATCTTTTGCTGAAAATCTTTTTTTTATCACTTAGCCTCTGTGAAGTATCATTTCGTTTGGCTATTTGTGAATTTGAATTATGCTTTGCAACTTGTCTGGCTGACTCTGAAGCTCAACTAGTCAGTGTACTGACAGATGCTCAATGTCGCCTGAATTGGTACTCGCTGAAGTTGTTGTCCGATTCAACAACGAGTAGTACAACGAGTACATTCTTACGGAATCATACTACTGATAATTTCAATGGCAGTAGTGGTAGCGGTGATGACAATAATAATAATAATGGGCATAATAATTATAACCATGATCATAATATTAATAATAATGATATTGACATTCAAAATGGTAATGATGGCGATACCTGTGGTCAATTGTTCAATAACCATGACAATTCGGTAAGTATTTCAATGTTTAATTATCTAATTTTATTATTATTATTATTGGTGTGGTTGTGTTCTCTGAGCTGGATAGTTAATTTGCGAAGCTTTCATCGCCCTACTTACTAGGCAACATCTTCAGCGCATACTTCAATTTGAAGTGAGCTGTTAGATTTCTCCACGGGTTTATTAATCGTCTCTCCTGGTGACCACCTTGAACGTGATTGGTTGCTTTTGTGTGTTTTCACAACTTCTAGGCTACTTGTATTGGAATTGATTGTTTCTTTGACTTGAACTTTGACCATTTGTGTGTTAGGTTTCTTTCTTATCGGTTGATAAATTTTGTTTATTTCCATGTGTCTATTGATTGATGATTCACTGAAATGCCAAGCTTCTGAAAATTCTCTATCATTCTTGTTGTTTCTTCTGTCTAATATTTGAACATTGTCCCAATCGAATTGATGTCCATGGTTGTCTGTATGTAGTGATATGTGCGAGTGAGTGGATGTCATGTCTTTTGATGGCTAGCTTATGATCGTGGATACGAAGACGAAGGGGACGTCCACTTTGGCCAATGTAGTGTTTATAGCAGTTGTTACAATTTATTTTATAGATGATGTTGGTTTTATCTTCTTTTGCTGTTAAGTAATTTGGTTGACATAGAACTGAGTGAAGTGATTTTGTTGGTTTGTGCGCGACGTTGCACACAATGACCGATAAGAGAGAAACCTCACACACACAAAGGGTCAAAGTTCCAGTCAAAGAAACAATCAGTTCCAATACAAGTAGCCTAGAGGGTGTGAAAACACACAAAAGCAACCAATCACGTTCAAGGTGGTCACCAGGAGAGACGATTAATAAACCCGTGGAGAAATCTAACAGCTCACTTCAAATTGAAGTATGCGCTGAAGATGTCACCTAGTAGGGTGATGAAAACTTCGCAAATTAACTATCCAGCTCAGAGAGCACAACCACATCAAATTCATCCACCTGAGCTACAAATCTTCTCTATCATATTATTATTTAGAAAACAGAAAGATTGAGCAAAGAAATATTTACTTTTCAATTAGATCCTCATCTAACTCTGGTTCTACTCTAAAATACACGTATAGCATTTTTATTACAATACACAACAATTTACCAATCAAGTGGCAGTGATACGTTTGGTAACAATAATTAGTCAGTGTCAACATGTCAAGCAGTGGGGTGATAATTAACGAATAAAATTAGCATACACACAATTAAAAGGTAGAAATGGTTAATTATGGAAAATTCCCATTGTAACATATAGAAAATCAAAACAAGTGATCCATTCAGCGAAGAGACTCTTTTCAACAACGAATTTATTATCAAGCTGTACAATGGTATATATATATATATATATATATATATATATATATATATATGGTTTTCTATTAAGAAGTTATATACGATGAGGGAATTGAATCATAGGTGTGAATGCATAAAATAATAATAATAGTAGTATGAAATGCAATCAAACAAAATTCTTACAAAACCAATGATTAAAAATTAATCTGATGCTCACTAGTGACTGGCCCTATTCAGGTAGTTAACCTGGGGTTCTAGTGGGAAGGGGTGACCAGGTGGTGTGCAGTAGGTTGAAGATGAGGCAGTAACTCATCGAAGAAGACATTGCTAATTGGTCGCGCTGTGGTATGAATTGGTAGAAGTTAGAATTCATGCACTGGCTGGTCAATGCGTCGGGTCCCAGTAGCTGCTGAGCTCGCCTTGTAACCAGAAGGTCTTGGGTTCGAACCCCGTGGCTTGGGTGCGTACTGATGAGGAGTCTCGAACTAGGACGAAACAGCTGTCCAGTATTCCAGCTGGTTTTCCAGTGGTTCTCTAATTGATGTCAGCTCATGATGAAATCCTCCATACAATAAAACTAAAATGTTTGTGATTATAATCATAGGTAAATGTCAAGTGGCAAAGCAAATTAATGTCATATGTAGAATAATTCATAGGATGGATAGAACTTGAAAAGGGTGAACAATTATAGGATTAGTAGACAAATCGAATAAAATAAAGACGTTACATAATATTGTGTTAGATTTGATAACATAGAATTTAACGTTGTAAAAAAAGAAGAATTGATTTAGAATGACAAGTGGAACAAGTGAAATAATACCGAGGACAATTAAAAGTGAGAGTAGTAATAGTAACAATTGACGTAATAAAAGAAGAGTATACAAATTGAATAGACAAAACGAAAAAAAGTGGTAGAGCGAAAATATGATAAGGGATTACCATACTTAAGCATAGAGGGATTAAGACCATGAAAGTTGGAGGGGTTGAACGAACTTTTTCTGTACACAGAGATCTGGCTTTTCTGTTTCGATAGCCAAAGCTTCAGCAATACAGATGAGTCGGGTACGTAGGGATTTGGGTAAGTTACTTTTTGTCTTGTAGATGATGTTAAAGGTGGAGGCTATAGAGACAGGGTGATCATTATCGACCAGATATTCAATGATCGTGCTTCTTATTGCTCCACTTCCACCTCTTCGTAACAGCCATGCAGGATAGTGTTCTTACACCCTCTTGGACAAAACTTGAGTTGGACGACCGATATACCTAGCTCCACACGAGTAGGTGAATTGATAAACACATATACAACAAGTGGATTGCGTAATGCATAATTTTGGAAAAATTAAGAATAATTAAGTAATAAGCGTGTGCACAGATTAATTACGCAACAGATTATTAAAGAAAATAAAACGAATTTGTAACTAAGGTTGAAGTGGTCATAAGAATAAAATGATTTTACAAGGATAACACGTAATTAAAGGTGAAGTAGTCAGAAAAAATAAAATAATTTGGACAATTATAATTTTTATATTTTTTAAAGGTGTAGGGGGAGGGAGGCGAAGTAGTCTGGTTTATACATTCATATAACGATGGCCAAGGTTTGAGGGATTTTTTCTATATTATTATATGCTTATACTATTGATAGATTGAAGATACATGTGGAACATAGGGCTTCAAACTGAGCACATCTCTACTTTGCCTTATTTTCTCCAGTCCTCTTTAGGTGGCTGGCTGACTGACTCAAAAATTGCCCATAGTCTCTCATCTCTTCCTGACACAGTTACCTCGATGTCACTTTCGGACGAACGCCCCACTCGTTGTTTCCCGCCCGGGTTCCACTGGAGCGATAGTCTGGCACTCTTTAGTATTTGTCCAATCCATCTCCATTTTCTTATAGACATTTGTTGACCAATAGGTTGTTGATTCGTCTGTTCTCGGAGTTTTTTGTTGTTAATTCTTTCTGACTGGCCATTTGGTCTTTTATATGAATTTTATTGGATATGACAAATCACGAAGAGTGAATGCATCGGCGCAACCACTGACTGAGAATGAGGATTTTGAACCATACCACCAATTGTCTCCAGCCTTTATTGGTTCTTACCATCCTGAGGACACCAACCAGCTACACAATCTACACCTCTTTACGTGGCTGGCTGGCTTAAACTAACTCTTGTGGATTTCATTGACTGGTGCCGCCATGTTTTCATTTGAGTACCACTGGCTCTTTTCCAACCTGATCCATCCTGTGTCAGCAGCTAACATTGCCCATCGGTTGAGAAAGGCAATGGATGGCTAGGCATGCATGCATAACACATGTCCTAACCATCTCAATCAGTGTAACTTCACAGCCTCGTCGATTGATTTCGCCTTTTTACGTAGCACTCGATGGATACCTCAATAGTGCTCACTCTATTATACTAGCACCTAACACGAGAGTTGAAACGTAGACACCTTTGATTAAACACAGCTAGCTAGCCTTTTCATGTCTACCTTTAAAAGAACACTCTCAATGGTCACCATGTTTCGCAGCCATAAAGGAGGGTAGAACGAACTGCTGAGCAGTACACACGCCCTTTGGTCGACAGCCAGCCGGATATCATGTCTGCGCCAGAGATGGAGTAATTTGACAAATACCAGACGAGCCTTCTGTATCCGTGCTGAGATTTCGTCAGCGAACGACGTGTTGGCGTTGGCTGAGGCAACTCTCCAAATAAGTGAAGTGGTCAACGTGCTCTACCACTGCACTCCTATTTCTAAGCTAGAAGTGATTCAATATAGTCCAGTCAGTCTTGTAGCATCATCTTACATTTGACAAGGGGAGCAAATCACATGGCAAACATGCACAGATTGCAGAAGACTGCATTTTGTGAGCGTCTTCACCCAGGAAGGAGGACTATATCATCTGCGTATTCTAAGTCAACGAGATTATTCCCTGACAGTAACAAGTCAATCCCTGAGTCTCTGAAGCGAGTTTGTGTTAAGTCCATTAGTACATCTATAATGAAATTGAATAGAAACGGGGATAGTGGATATCCCTCGCTGTCGGACTTCACTAGTTGTGACCACTTCAGATGACAACTCGCCGTAAGCCCTCACCTGGCTGCATGAGTTCGAGTGGAGTGTCTTGATCTGTGGGCGATGTATTTTCTTGGCATTCCCTTAACAGCCAAGCATCGCCAGAATACCTCTCTTTCGATAGAATCGAATCCCGCCTTTAGGTCAACAAATACGACGATTGTTGGACACCAGTAAGTATGCCTATGTTCTAGAATCTGTCGAAGGATGAATATATGATCAGTACACCCTCCTCCTAGTCTAAAGCCTGTCTAATTCTCTCGTGTTTTTGCTCCCGTGAACCGCTTAGTCTTCGTATGGGTACTGAGCCTAGGACTTCAGATACCATATCAGTCAAGCTAATCCCCCTGAGATTATCATGGGATGACTTGTCTCCCTTCTTGTAAATGGGGATAATCAGTGACTTACACCAGTCCAATGGGACTTACTCTGATTCTGAGACGCTGCCTAGTACCTTAGTTAACGCAGACAGTAAACTGTCTCCACCGCACTTCAGTGTGGCTGTAGGTCAATTATATGTATATATGTATATATATATATATATATATATATATATAAAGCTATCTAGTTGTTAACCCTATTACATAACTTTGAGTTCTCTACAGGAGTAGGTAAAT